GCGGCAAGTCTTGTGCAACTAAGTAATGATTCCCTGCGTTTTGACTCACAGGGCGAGTGGCCGTTCTTTTGGCTAGAGGAACTTCCTATGTGCAAATAGGATGCGCGCAGTAATCACTACGTGCCCAAAATAAACAACAACTGCGTGCACTTTACGCAACAATAATTTTACAACAGTCAGTTGGTTCTGAGGACGGATTATAGTAGTTTCCCAAATTATAGCCTTTGATGAATGGCTGAAAAAAATCGTCAGTTAGAATATGGTCGCCTATCAAGAGACGGCGTCAACTGTCCCTGGGTGTTCAAGTAATGCCACCTGCAGATATGCCTGTTAAGGACTGTCAATGGCATTTAATGGAATGCTCGCCAGTTCCTGTTATCCATGAATTTAAAAAGTAGCTCTAGATATTATCGCCGTCCAACAGTCCTTGTAAATCGATGGGGAAAAAGGAAAGGGAACGGTAAGCAATCAGTTGTCAAGACCATCTGGAAATTTGACAAGCTACCGATTATCATTAATGACTTACATTTAAAGATCCGAACAGGTTGTGGATCTAAAAAGATAACCAAAAGTTGAAGATAATGCGATCTTTTTTATAGATATCAATGTCATTGCTAGGTACAACTATTGCTACCGGTACTACTACTATTACGGCTGCAACTACTACTAATACTGATGCTACTTCTACTGTGGCTGCTTATACTATTATTAACGCAACTGCTACTACTACGGATACCGCCACTACTGTTACTACGACCACTATTACTACTACTACTACTACTACTACTACTACTACTACAGCGAACGCTACTATTACTACTGTCAATACTACTACTAATACTACCAGTACTACCACTGCTCCTACGACAAGTACTGCAACGTCTTCAATAAATACTATTACTACTACCCTGAGCATCACCGCCATAACTAATACCATTGCATTGTGGGCTGCTAGATGGTACGAGGGTTGCATCTTTCACTAGCGTTCAGTTTATATCCTTCAATTAAGGATTTTGAAAAGGAGCACAGTCATCTTAACCGATTTTTTAGGTCTACTATGTGAAGAAGGGGGATACAAAAAGCGCCTGCGGGCATACCACAAAGAGGTAGTAGTCAAAAAGTTGTCCAATACAGTGCATAACCTCGCTGGCGATGGGTTTCAGCAGTTGCATCATTTGCATGTAGCGGCCTAAGAAGAAAACAGAAGTTGGGGGAAAGATCAAGCTGGTGGGGTAGAATTGAAAACAAAAGCGTCGGATGGTAGTATTGCTCATTAGGGTTGGACTTGGACGAAAATTCATGAGGGCAACAGCAAACACACGTGATAATTATTTTAACTGACAACCGTCAACAAAAAAACTGCAGCACCAATTTGCAGAAGTGACGGTTCGAACGAGCTTAAAGCGGCGACAAAACAAGAAACAATTATGAGGGGAGCGGAGACTAATCAAACTCCAGTAACGCCAGTCCAGAGGCGACTGCGCAAGGTTCTGTATGTGGGCATCAGATCGATATATCGATCGACTGAGTTCTCATTGGGGGCTCAGGCTTCAATAAATTTGCAGGTTGTCTTGCAGTTGGCGTGAGTGATTAGCTACGCGGCTGCGAAGTTAAAAGCATGATCTGTTTCGTAGGCGTGGGCATACACTTGCAATAATCCGTCACCCCGTCTCACAGCCAACTTATTTTCGTGTATGCGCAATCCGAGAGTACGTCCAGTCTGACCTGCAGTCACCTCCGGACTGGCGTTAATGATGAATGATTGGCCTCTATCCCCTATAACGGTCACTCGTTTTTATGCAACTTTCATCTCTGGTGATGATGATACATTGAACCAAAGTGTGGATCAGACCGTTTCGAGGCAAGCGTAAACCCATACCGAGCCAAAA